TCCCATATTGATTTCAATTTAAGAGCCACCGGTATACAGCTGTTTCAGCCTATTGGGCATCGTCAGTACCGGGCAGGCGGTCCTCGATTGAAGACAAAATGATAAAAATAGCTGCGTGAAAGCAAGTGGGAACGCAAGTGGGAAAGTAGGGATTCAAATAACAGAGTGATGATTGAAAATACTTCTGAATACTACTTTCTCACATATACATACAATCGATCGCTTCAAAAACACTTCACTAACTTTCTTCGAAAGCTTCTGATAATTCCTCTTCCATATTCTCTGTTTCACTATCACTGTCGTCATTTAAATCAATTATGAATTCATTTCCACCATAAATATGGAAGTGTTCAATCTCCATATAGTCTTCTTCAACTAAAATTACTTTTTCAATCCTTTTCTGCCAGCCTTCTTCGGTAATATTAGATACTTCTCCTTCAACTAATTCTATTATCGTCTCATCAAATTTTGGAAAATTATTTTGACACCCGATACTTCGTTTCAATTTTCCCCAAATCAACTCGATGGGATCGAAAACACAAAAATAGAGGAGGAATCTCAGTATGGTGTGTCCATACTTTTCAGCAATACTCTGAAGGGCATACATTTTTTCGAATGTTTTTGTCTGTAAAACTTCAAGTAGTTGGTTTTTGGTATAGTTATCTTCAGAATACGAATTGTTATCCATTAAAAAACTTTGTGTTTCATCTTTCCTCGAATTTTCATTCGGTACTTTGGTGAGCTGTCGCGAATGGTAGGAAGCGTTGTCAAGAACTATTACACTATTCGTATCCAAATTTGGGATCAATGCGTTTTCAAACCATTCCTCAAAAATATTAGCTTCCATGTTCTTATGAGTTGACTATCATAAGTCCTCAAGTCCACATAATTTCAAAGAACCAAACTTGAGATATAAATTCTTATACATATTGAAACATACTCTCTGTGTTTCAATATTCAAATGCATCCGAATCTTATTCACTGGTATCTCTTTTTCGCACTGTTCACCATCGCTATTGGAATCACTACACAGGAAAAAGTATGCGTTGTTATCACACTCGTTATTACTATTAGTACTTGTCCAAGGACGCCACATTTTAAACAGACAACAAAAATTTTAAGTAATTATAACTGCACCAATATCGAATTTCAACACTCAAATCGCGATCAGTTCCTGAACTGAACATTGACAACACGAAGTGTTGTCTATTCATCACCGTAACATGACTTCAAAATTTAATTTTATGACTCTTCAGCCAATCATAAAACTCGGTTAGTAAAAATCATCCAATACAAACCGTCAATTCTTCAGTCCATGTGGACTTTATCTCTTTGTATTGCTTTTCTTGGCCTTTGAGGGCGCCGATAGCTTTAAGTATTCACAATAAAGATTACTTCGACTATACCTCCGGTATAAAAATGATATAGATGCAATAGAAAAAGTTCTAAATGAGTGTCATAAGCACTACAAACTTCTGAATGGACTGATTTGCTCTCAACAGTTGAAAGGACTGATGTAAATGATAGAACATGTAATTCCGAATTGTTTAAAGTGTCATTCCAGCTTACAAACTACGGGTGCAATGAGCCACGATTCTATTGATGTTGTGGCCGTAATTTCCCATTTTCCCCATCTACAATAATACCAGATTTCATAATTTGATGACAATCAACCAATAATTGATAATCTTTTATTACAGCGTCCCCCAAGCCCTTCAAGGCCGCCAACGCATGTGCCAGAAGGAGGTGAGTAGCTGTTTTATGAATTGAACAGATCCAACGACTTTTTTTCAGTTACTCCAAATTTGGAAGGGTGCTTGCTTCCTGTTCGTCTAATTATTCTTACTTAGAGAAAACTGAAACATCACCAGTTTTATTCTTAACTTTTTTCGAAATCGATATAGTGATCAGTATGGTTTTCGCAGATCTAGAGATACAGAGGCAGACAATAATAATAAATGTTGCCTCAAGCCTTCAGATTTGCGTAAAGTATTTGATACTGTACGTCATTTATCTCAGAACTAAACAAATTTGGCATTAGAGGGAATATCATTGATTGGTTTGTAAATTATATGAGTTGATAGACAACAATATATTTGCATAGAAAATAAAAAAAAAGTTCCACAAGAGGAATACATTTTGGGGTACCACAAGGATCTATTTCTCGTCCATTCCTCTTTTATATACATCAACACCCTGTATATACTTGGGTTACATCAGGTAATATCCTTCGTGTTTGTGTTTCTCTAGGTTCACTGTTTCTAGGAATGTGGAGTATTTTGTGGAGTATGTTGAACGTTACGTCTAGTTGTTTTGTTATCGAGGAACAATCACATACATACATTTTTACCTGCGCAAAATTATAAAAGTATATATCTTCAAATGTATTATTAATTGCAGCACCCGCTTACCCAATTGACTATTGGTCTCCCACAAAGAGGTCGACGCCGTGTTACAAACCAGGATTTACCACTCAGGATTTGAATTTGGTAAGTATACTTCATTGAAAAATATTTCTTTCTACTTGACAACTACAATCTGAAACAACATGAAATGGGGTATTCTGATATTTCGAATAAAACAGGTCTGATTGGGGATATTTGGAACATTCAATATTGTTGATTTGTATATATTCAGCATCAGAAAGAATTTTTAAGTTTACTCTGTCCATAAAAGTCCCACGAGTAGCTAGGAAAAGAAGGTCAATCGCGGCAGAGCTCCGCATTACCGTGACAAGGCGATGCTACGACGAGAGGGCGCCCGGTATCTCGAAGGTTCCGTTGAGACAGCTAAGGCTCAGTGTCATTCTTCCTCTCTGCACGGATACACACCTCTTAGGATTGAGCCATCGTTGTGATGCCATTCAGTTAGGAAATAATGGAACCACAATTGATTCTGTCATTCCCGTATCCAGCGGGGCTACGTGGAAGCAGGCATCCGATGGTCGGTTTGCTCAATCTCCACATCCTAAGCCAATGCAGTCGCCAAAAACAGCATGCACAGTGGTTCAGGCAGTGAAAGATGAACAAGGATAGCCAACCTGATAAGGTCTGCCTTACCCTGGGGAGTATGATGGGTAAGGCAAAACTTCAAAGCTCAATTCGTTTAATTTTTGGACGTTGGTTTGTGAAACTTTCGGACAGGCGTTGTCGTGGAGCAGGATTGAACCTCTTCTGTTGACCAGTGCTGGCTGCTGCTGACGCAATTATTTCTGCATTTCGTCGGGTTTCTCACAATGGGACTCTACTGTGCAGGTTCGGCTTGGTTAAAGTGAATCACACATGTATCCACCTGTCCAACCATATAGTAACTATATTTTTGGTGGGTTTTCACTTTTGGGAAGTACCTGTTGTTCTAGAGAATCCACTTTTGAGACTACTTATGTATCTCTTTTGCTCGACGATGTGGACTTTCAACGGTCTCTTAGTTTCACTGATATAGAATTTCTCGCACTTACAGCCTATCCGGTAAATGCAATTCTTAGTATCGCAGTCCGCTTTTGATGGCCTGATTTTCATGAGGCTGCTACGGATGGTGTCCCCAGATTTTAACGTTTCTGACAATCCTCTGACGTAGGGAAGGGCAAGAACTGGTAGTGATTGCTTCTCTTCTTTTTGCTGTCTTCTAGCCAAAACATGTTCTACCTTCTTTTTGAAGTAACCATTTCGTTGAAGATCTTTTCTGATGATGCCTAGTTCTTTCTTGAGATCATCCTCCGTATTACAAAGCCCGAAAGCACGACCCACTACAGTCTTGATGATTCTTCGTTTGGTAGATTGATGGTGGTTGGATTCGTAATTCAGATACCGTCCCATGCTACGTTCAGATCTTTCAAATCAAACTAGTATCTATTTAGACAATGGAAGTCCAAACTAGTAAATTTACCGATTATCATCATCATTTTCAGCCACGACCTCAAGTGTTTCCTGATGAACCGTACCGAGACAGCCCGATCGTTAGTCGAATGCAAACCATGGCATCGACTATTCGACCAGTCATCCCTGAATTTCCAGACGCGCTTCACGATCCTTTTGCCATCAGTGACATGTCAGGCTCGGACGAAGAAGAAGAAGAAGACATAGAAGAGGAGGAGAAAGAAGCGGAAGAAGAGGAAGCAGAGCGCTTGCACGCGCTGGATCAGCTGGAATTCGTGGAGAACGACACGCTGGTGCAAGACCTGCTGGCTCTGCAGAGAGAAAGGAGGAAAGTGATTTATGACATGGCTAATATGGAGCCGAAGAGGAAATCATCACTAAGAAGTAAGTAATTTGTCAACTTACTGAACTTTTGGACATCACAAGGGAAAATAAATAACAAAACAACTGTTGTTTATGTGGCTTGTGGAGGTGGTATTGAACTATAATTTATATGTTGCCTTAATTTGACACTATTGACATGATTCTCCTTCTTCTAGCATACTACTAACCTGAACTCCGATCTAGCATTCTAGGCGCTGTTGCCAATATGTGAATTAGAAACAAATCCCTTTGAAAATTAAAACCCAACAGTTGAAACATCAATTTGAATACTTTTCGAAGTAAATTTGAAAAACTCATGAATTGAACTCAACTTTATTTTCTTCAAACTTGCATTTGCTGTAATAACCCAAATCAAGGAACCATCCCCATTAGCTGAACAATGTTTACACTCAACACACGTTTTTATTCTACGCAATGTAGCAATTTTGTCAAATTTGGCCATTTTAAAATCACGTGACACACAAAATTAGGTCTAATTTTCCTAAAAAGTTCATTTAGTGCTTCGGTGCACATATCAAGGCCAGGCAAAATTCACATCCATTTGAAACCTTCCCCAATAAAATATGTGAATTTTTTGAAATTAATTTGCTACAAATAAATACTTGAAGAAGATGGTTATAGATGATTTTAATAATACTATTATCATCATTTTAATGTTTCCTATAAGATATGCTCAATAATGTAACATACTGTATACGTTTTGGCTATCCTGAATTCCAATCAGTAAAATGTTTGAATTTTTATGTTTATTAATTTACATTGCTTCCAAGTAATGAAGCTTCAAACCTTTATTTTCTATGTGTGAAATTTCAAAATTAAAGATATTATTTTCTCCTGAAAGATGATTTGAATATGTTGAACTTACGTTACTACGTGGTAGGAAATCATAATGAAGACAAGAGAAATGAAAATAAGAAATAAACTTATACTTAATTGTATAAGTTCTAAAATGGACATGGTATATTGACTATACATTATGGTGGTCAAAGCCATGATAACATACGCGTCTCTGATCTGGCGGCCAAAGATGAAGCAGGCGACCGCTGTCAATAAACTGGGCAAGGTGCAAAGACTTGCATGTTTGGGAATGACGGGAGCAATGAGAACTATCCCAACAGCTGCATTGAGACACTCCTGAATCTACCTCATTTACACTTTGTGATAATGGGGACGGCCAGGATAGGACAATTCAGACTGGAAACCTCACCGAACTACAAAAGATCGGACAGACCAGAAATTTCGGAACATGTGGAGAAGCACATATTGAAAATGTGCACGGGCCACACGACACCGAAGTATACCTTTAACACAAACTTCACGGCCAAAATCATAAGCCGCGTTTGAAAAAAAAACACCTGGTATACAGATGGATCGAAGACCAAACATAGAACGGGAGCTGAAATATACCGAGCGGATACAAATTTAAATTACAGCTATTCATTAGGACTCTATACATCTGTCTTTCAGGCGGGAGTGTATGCTATCTTGCAGTGTGCAAAGCTTATTAAATTGAGACCTCGAAGAAATGAGCGGATCAATATTTTTACAGACAGCAAGAGCGCACTAGGGGCTCTGACAAACCCGAAGGTGACATCAAACAAGTCGTCAAATTGT